TACATATATATAAAATCTGGATCTCAGTTTTTTAATTCCTAGTGTGAAAAAACATTCTAATGAAAATCAAGTTTGATATGTCAATTTTGAAAGTATTGATAGTTGTTGGGGTGTTTTTTGTTTTTTTGTTTTTTGTTTTGCATTAGAAAGCACTGGTTACTTTGAGCAAATAAAAGCTTTCTGTAGTTTCTTCCTTTAATTGTAGGATATTTGATGCCATGCTGTATTTTCCTCTGCATTGAAGAACAGCTTTTTCTATAAATGGTGGGGAAATTTTCCAGCCATTACTCAGTCAGAACTTATTTTTAACTGGGATGCAAAAGGACCATTCTGGTTTTGTTTGTATGTGTGTATATGCATAAAATACTTAACATGACTGGTTTGTTTTTTTTAATAGTCCACCAAAACAAAACCCATGGGTGATAACACACTTTGATGAGATTCTATCACTGTGAACTGAAGAAGTCACTTTGGTTCAGTTGAAAATTTTCCTGAAGCCATAACCTTCCAAATTAAATAGGTGATTATATAGTTAGTGGACAGTTTAGGTTGGATAATTTTAAAAAGCAGCCACATGAGAATTCATGTATATTGTCACATAAATGCAGATTATTTTCAAAATTTGTTGCTACTAACCCAATTCTTACACTCAAAGAAACTAGACAAATAGTTTGTTTTAATTAGCTATAAGACTTAAATGGATTTTCCTCTCGTTTCCTCTAGTGAGCCATTCCTTTTCAGTAAGTTGAACTCTGTACTAAAAGGTTATGATTCATGGAACATCTAAGCTCATGGAAATGTAATTATGGTTAGAAATGTTGACAATATTAGGACTGTTGACATGAATGAATGAACAAAATTTGGTAATACAAATTATTGACCTGCATGCTTTTTCTTAACCCTGATTCATTCCTTACTAGTAGACTTAATCTTTTCAGTATTTGGGTTACTCGCTCAACAGCAGCCAGGAAAATACCTTTGTGGTATCAGAATGTTATCCAACTGTATATTGTTTACTTTATTTTAAATAATGGTGAACAGTGGATAATAAATAGCTTTATATTCCTAAAAAAAGAAATAAAGATGACTAAGAAACATCTTAAAAGGTGTTTGACATCATTAGTAATTAGCAAAATGCAAATTAAAACCACTTTAAGATTTCATCTTACCCCAATCAGACTGGCTAAGATCAAGAGAACAAATGATACCAAATGTTGGAGAGGATGTGGGGAAAGGGGAATGCTTATCCACTGCTGGTGGGATTGCAAACTTGTTCAACCTCTATGGAAAGCAGTGTGGAGAACCCTTAAAAACTAAAAATGAACCTACCATTTGACCCAGTTATACCACTCCTTGGCATATACCCAAAGAACTCGTCCTATTGCAGAGACACTTGTACATCCATGTTTGTTGCTGCTCTTTTCACAGTAGCTAAGAGATGGAAGCAACCCTCAATTGATGAGTGGATAATGAAAATGTGGTTCATTTAT